CGCTGAATACAACCAAATGAATAGTACAGAGTACTCCGAAGTCACGGTTGGCCACCAGCGGCCGAGCGGTAAAGTCGTTGAACACTGGTAGTTTGGTCCGAGGTTCGAATTCCGCGAACGGGCATGCTGCATGGGTGTTTTCGTGTTTTCCCCATGTGTAAAGTGTATACGAGCCAGTTTCCCTTGGAAAGTCCTCCACGAAGACATCCCTCCCCCCAGGAAGATGGCCCTCGAGGTTTTGCCGCAATTAAATAACCTAACTTAACCTAACCGAAGTCATGGTAGAGGTGCATATCAGCACATTTTGTTACAATTCGTTTGGCGGACAAATCCCATCACATAACTAATGGGTGCACAAGTGTGCAATCACTGTCAAGAATTCAGTCACCGTAATAAAGGTTACAACTATCAGCTTTACGGTGCTAAATATGGAGGTAAACATAAGAAAAGGGGACTGTATAGACAACTGATTGTATCAACTGCGAGATCAATAAACACCACTATGCCACCAACTATAGTTGCGACCACCCAGCATGTAAAAACGCTTACCCATCCCACAGAATAAAGATACAAAGGATTAAGTCAAGAACTCAGTGTTTTAAGTAATCACCGAGACAACCATTCATCTAATGGCATCCCACTGGCAATCCATATTACTTATCACCTCCTCAACCTGGACCTACTGAATAAAGTTCTTCACATCAGTTTTCAGCCTTCCAAAACAGCCACCAATAACTTCATCAAATACATTACAGAAAATTATCTATATCACCAAGGGAAGCCATTATCGTAATTAACAAATGCTGGATACCAGTAGTAATCAAAGTACAACGTGATATAATCACCATTGCCATCACCACTTTAGAGTTTCAACTTCTCCTCGCCAGGGCCTACGCATCACCAGCAGAAGATATAGAAACAACCCTACAACAGTTAAGTGTAAACATCCATAACCACCACTGCGCATACATTATCAACGGCGAATTCAATGCTCAGAATCATCATTGGGGAATCTTCCAGAGCAACTCCAAGAGGAACTGTCATGGAAGGTTTTTTAAACGCACATAATCTGTTTCTCAATAAATATCTGGTTCATATCCTTTTCAATAGAACTGGAAGTCAAGACAATCATACTAAATGTTTTAAAATTAATAATAGAACAGAGAAGCAACTTGTTAAAGCACTGAAGGTAATAACCAATTTTATCATTCAAGATATCCAATCCAGCACCTCAACAGATGATCTAAACTTATGTGCTACCATCTGACACAATGAATCTTAAAAGAAAAACTTTAAATAACAATATGAATATCAACTGGTGGACAAAAGATTTGCGAGCAGCCAGACAAAAAACGAGAGCCCTCAGACGACGAATAAAATCCCTCATAGACGAAGACCGAAAACTCGTATGGATTGAGTACAACAAACAAGAGCTACAAAAAGAAATATCATAGACTCCAAACTGAAATGTCACAGCAGTTATTGCTCACCAAATCGAGACACATACGTTACCCGGTCAAATAGAAATGTTCAAAGTCTTTAAATCAACTCAAATCTGCATTCCAATAGTTTTCAGCCTAACATTAACAACAACAACGCAACATTTCTCGCTGATGCGCTAGGCGTTATCATTATATCAACTTCAGGCCATAATTCAAGACAACCAAGTCATCTCCGTCAAAATCTTAGCGTATAACAGACTGAGCTGTCAGCAGTCCATTCCAGCATGACATCTTTCCTAAAATTCCCGATGGACACGATTCAAATCATCACGGATAATCAGTACTCAATTTACGCAATCAAAAACAAATACTCCAACTCGCCATTAGTGAACCAAATCCAAACCTCATCCATAATAACGATAAGACATTTATCATTATTTATACCAGAGGTTACAGCAGCTGCGAAGGCAATGAATGAGACGACATCCTTGCCATAGAAGCCGACATGTGTGTGTAAAACAAAGTGGCGACAAAACTGATATCTCATGGCCTAGATATATCTTAAAATAAAAGCTTAAAAACCTTACACACCACAAATAGCAATATCAACGGGAGCAAGAATACCAGGGAAGTCGAACCTCCAGCTTCCTATCAAAAACTGATGAAAATATAGGTATCACTTGCCACTACCTCTCCCGATACATCTCTGGGCATGGCTCCTTCCTGACCTACTTCCATAAAAAATGGCACCTACAGATATGCGTGCATATGGGAAAAGGGGCGATCCAGATGACTACATATGCCAGCGCCCTCGAGAGAATAATCATATTAGGTATCCCTTAGACCCTGGCACTGAACTTAAGAGGTTTTTTTTTTTTAATAAAGTATCGCAAGATCTACCAGTGCATTAAAGCCATCATGGAAGAACTCCAATGCCAAGGTCTCTAGTTGTCCCATTCTTGACACTTCTATAACCAACATCATCTATGCCACCGATAAATTGAACCTCTAAGTCATACTGCAAACATTTCTTGAAAAATTCCATATATGTTGCTGCCAAAGTGTAAACTGACGCTAAACCCCTGAAACCTGTTTCAGGAAGTTTATATAAAGCATTACAACTTCCCCTTTTCATTTTATTGCATTGCAACTATTATTATTGCAATTTTATTGCCCATATTTTACAGAAATTTAATTTTGGGGTCTTTTTCCTTCTATAAATAAGCTTCCTAGTTTCAAACTTAAGGGCCCCATTCTGGATATGAGTTTTTGGGTGATTTATAGGATTCTTTGCCAATGAGGTTTAATTTATATTGGAGAGCCTTAAAAAAGAGCCTTGAAATTTCGCATTAAAGTACATGAGGCATATGTTAGGAACAAGGAAACACAGAAATCATCTGTTGTCCAGCACTCTTAATTATAAAATGGCACTTTTCATTTTTCTGCAGCCGAAATTATTCAAAAACATCTTCCATTGATGAATTAATAGTTTTTTTGTTTCATTAATAAATGGGGCCAGTAGCTTGACTTCTTTTCAGTCATTCTTATCTTATCCCATATTCTATCTCGTTCATTGACACTTACACAGCTGAAGAAGGTTCTATATTTAAACCATCGCATCTAGTCCTGCAAAATTTACAAACATTATGCTGATTCTTGTTGTTTAACTTCTCAATAATTCTGTAGTAAATATTTTGGAACTATCTTGAAAACGCAAGGCCCTTTTTAATTATTCGAACTTGCAAAAGCTGTTTCAGACCTTTCCGGCCGATGAGCCTTAAGCATGGTCATGCATTCCTACCATTACTATTACATGGTGTATACTTTTGAATTATATCATCCTATGCCAATACCAAATTTCATTAAAATGTGTGCAACAGTTTCGGAGATAATCGAAAAATGTAAAAATTCTCTTAAATCTAAATATCAGTGTATTTAAGACTTTCTTTTTTTTTTTTTTTTTTTTTTTTTTTTTTTTTTTTTTTTTTTTTTTTTACAATGGCACCTGAAGTTAGATATACTGGTCAGAGTAGTTCTTGTGTTAAATAGACAGTCTATCTACTTTATGAATCTTCTACGACTCCAAGTTGCGACAGAATGCTTAAGGAATGATGGAGACATAACATCCTTTCGAGAGTTATAACATTTTTGTAAATTTTGCAATAAATATTGTCAATACTATAATTTGTTAATCATGTACTGCCATTTCTTGTTGCTGAGGACCACTAACGTATTTTCATAAAGCATTTCAATCTGAACTTTTCTTTCCGGTGCAACACATTTTTGAAGATGAATGCGTCAGTAATTACTGGTTGTTACGTCTCCATTGAACTGGTCCATCCTTCCTATTATTAAAAAATAAAAAATCTGTGTGCACGTTCATAGCACTGCGGAACGATGGTATGACCTACTGTTAACAAATTTTGAACGAACGTAGTCCTGTATTCGAACATGTTTGCCTCGAAGCCCAAATTCTCAATTTAGAATTATTAATTTACTTATTTTATACATTTTACTAATTTTATGAATTTTTTATTAACAGACCCAGGGAGTGGGATTTAAAAGCCACCAAGAACTACCACCAAAGAGGGCTTATTGTTTACAGATTACTTTTAAATAGATTCCAACTACCTTCACATCGTAACTAATTAAAGTTTGAACAGAAAAAAAGAAAATATTATACGTAAAATGAAATTAATAAAATAATTCAACATAGACTGAGTTTAAATACAGAAATAAAAAAGGTTTTAGTAAATTAAAAATTTTGTGACTTTTTCTGATTTCTTTTCTACTTTCATAGCTAAAAATTTTTTAATACATTATTTATTATATATTATACATTTGAAATTCTAAATTCGTAAATGGAAAATTAAGAGGCTCCTTGGTAATATGATCAAGACGACAAATATCAATGCTAATGTTTCCTCAGTAGGATTTAAACTGCAAGAATGATGAAACTGAATGCATAATAATGCTTGAAAATAACTTCAGATACTCGATGTTTTTAAGATTCAATTAACTTTCGAGAATATTAAGACTTGGTAATAATGTCAAATTCCAAATAAACTTACTCTGTCCTGTAAACTTACTTTGACGAGAATGCCTTAGCTTCTATAACATTACGAATTTTGCCAAGGTTTATCAACAAAAAATATACATTGTGAGATGGTACGAAATATAGCATTCTATTTATTCGAAATAGAATTCAATCTCAATTGAATTCTTTTTCATTCTGGAGCTTTGGCGCATTTAAATCAGAACGAAAGTTCCAGAAAGTTTATTTCCTCAAGCATTTTAATCTCAGCAGACAGCTGTATCATTTTAAATTTTCGTCACTTGTAACCTTATGACATACATTCTGTCTCATATTTTCAGATGGAAAAAGTGTTAGTAAATAATAGTAATTTTATTATTTATGAATTCAAGCAAAACATATAAATAAAAAGGAATTAAATGGCAGAGGAAAATTGTTATATTTAAGGAAACTACAAAATTTTATTGTGAGCTGTTCAGAATCCTAGTGAAAAAGGTAGAAGTTTTCTAAAATTTTATAATTACTTTCTTGGCCATTTGAAGGTCTCTCTTGAGTACCTGATTTTCATTTTTGCTTTCTATGAGCCTGAAGTTTAGCTGCTCTATTTTATCCCGAAGTTCTCTGACAACAAGATTGTTTTCCATTCTCTAGGGATGTAAATAAATGAAAGCTTATAATTATCACCCTTACAAATAACTGAAGTAATAGTTGAACAGAAAATCTTTCTCCATATATAAAATACAAATTAGACAGATTTCTCACTTTCCATGCGTTTAGTTGCAATTTCGTTTAGAAAATACAAATTTTAGACATTTAGAAATTATTACAAAAGAAGTAAGTAGCTTCAATAAGTAACAAGGTGCTGTGAAAGACATTGTGATGAAATGTGAGTGGGGTATGTTGAAGCAGATATAAAATTATTTTAAACATTCCTTTGGTGACGTAGGCGGTTACAGGTTGTAAGACTCGGTAGACAAACTGAGCATGTCCGAAGTATAGATGACATTTTGTGTTTCAGAGTTCATCGCTTTTTACTTCCTTGTTAAGGAAGTATTGTAATCGCGAAAAATTTCGGGTATTAAATTTCAACGAAATATTCATTTTGACCGCTCTCGAATCCATTTAAACGATATTTTTGTGTGACATCTGTATGTAGGGAACGAATAAAGGACTCTTTTTCCATGTAAAATAGATTGTAAAATGGATTTAAAGTGGATTCAGAAGATATTTGTTTCGTGACTACGTACGTACGTATGTACGTATCTCTCATAACTTAAGAACAAGTAGCCCCAGAATGTTGAAATTTCGTATATGGGACAGGTATAACATGTAATTGTTCACTTATCTTTTTGGTTGCAATCGGCCACACCAAAAGTATATGTATAGTATTGTCTTAAAGAAGTATAGTTTTAAAATAATTCGTAAGATTTTTCACAGATCCGTGTAAAATAATAATTTGTTTTTTTATGTACAATTAGTACTAGAACCGGTATAATAAGATCAAAACTTAGTCTTAAATAATTGACGCGAACTAAATTTTTCAGTTACATTTTATTTATAAGAATGAAACATACATTTTATTTATAAGAATGAAACATTGAAATTCTTCAACCTCATGAATCTATGAATCTTTAAAAAGATTTCAATTTAAAAAACTGAAATCTTATCGCCTTTATTTTTATTCAGTTTTTCGAATCCTCAGCTAAGAAATCGCCGAACGTTTTAACTCAAAATTTTGGAAAGATCACTTTTATTGACTCACTAAAAATGAATGCGATAGCTGAAATTTCGTTGGCGTATGGCTAAGCCGATGCTCAAATTACGGGTTCTGAGTGTCACATTGTTTCAGTATGGTATCAGAACAAATCTGTCAAAATGTTCACTCAAGTAATTGTTACTCCTTACATTCTTAAAATTCTAGAAAGCAATTGTCGAATCGTTTCGATAAATTTGGGCATAAATAACCTACTACAAATAGTCCCTGGAAAAAACATACATATATATATATATATAAATTTAAAATATGATGTGTACACCACCTTACTTTCTTGTACGGAATATTAAATTATACGCATTTTTCCTGCACTTCATTTAAACTTATTTCCTCGAATTTCATTAGTGATAGATTTCTGATTCAGTTAATTCAGGTCTCAGTTCACAGGAAGGCAAATATACGTAATACCTCAAAATATCCTTATTAAAAATCGAAAGATATAAATAAACATAAAGCACCAAATTTATATTTTATATAGCAAATGTCTGTGTTGTATAATAAGATGCCGAAGTTATTCAGGAATCCATTCTGCTTGAAAGCGTTAGGAAAAGCTATCAACTAATGCTTTATTGAAGCGACTTTATTGAAACGAAGATGATATATATGAAACAACTGAATTCTTTCCGGAATAATCTGACGAAAAATGTTTAATGACTTCAGAGCAGAGTTTAAATTACGTTCGATTCACGGACGAAGTCCATCTCCAGCATAACCTCAAAAATTTTCACATGCGCAGTAGATGAAATAAATGATGACATCTACTTGAGATTACTAAGCACTCATTACAAAAGATAGAGTTTTAGCTGAAAAAAGTGTGACAGCTGCATAGAAAAAGGCACAAAAATCACCTATCTTACTTAGAGATACATATGAGGTTTCAACGAAATATGAATGACTCTTATCCATCATATACATTATATATGAGTTCATCAAACTTTATTTTGCCTCTAATTTGAAAGAGACCCTGTGTAGAACGGCATTTACCGTCCTTGAAAGAGGTTTTATCAGCGACTGCTTACATCATTCGAAGAATGAAGAAAAGCTGTACCTACGATGAATCACAAATTTTGGCGGTTACTTGAGAAGCAGGAGAACTAAAATAATTTCAAGAAGAAATGAAATAAAATAAAATCCGAGAGAAAAAAATAAAGAACTTTAATATTTAAATGATCTTTGCATTTATCTTTTGTGCTGTTCCGATGTCCATTACCTGCTATAAAAATAACGCAGTCATTGTAATATAATTCAAAGAAACCTAATTATTATTTATTGCTCTGATGATTAGCGCACTATGGATTGCTGAAATTTTGATTAGAGCAAATCTAAATTGCTACACACATAAAGCAATTTAAGTAATAAATTACTAATTGATGAAAATGAGTGTCATTACTGTTTGTCCAGTTAGAGTCTCGTGCGCCTCGAGAGCCGCAGTATGGTCAAAATTGATATATACAATGGTGCCTCGCATAACCAACGCTCAGACAGCCTGAATCTTGTTAACGCCAGTGCGCTCTTGACGTAGGTAACTTTATTTTCCCCTTCTGCACTACCCTCTTCTACTAGATCTTGTATTCGCGATCGTATAATATCATTCGATAATGGAATCTCTGATAATGAAGAACTCTCTTAGGTTTTGGTTTAGCTGATTAAGGCAAAGTAGACGAGGGCTATCAATCTAAGGAAAGGGATGCCTTTGTGGCGGACTTTCTAAAGGAAGCTGGCTTGTATACACGTTACACATGAGAACAACCACGAAAACGCCCATGCAGCCATGCCTTTCTCCAGGATTCTCTGCAAGGACCGAATTACCGGTGTTCAGCGACTTTACCGCTCGGCCGCTAGTAGGCCTCCCACAAACTCGCTTATAAAACTTTGGTCCCAGCAGCGATGATCTTATATGAAGTTTTATCGGTTTATGCGAATTCCTGTTAGCACGAACTACGAACTGTTTTTTAGCCTGCTGAGTAATTAAAATTTTTCATTTAACACGAACCTTCAGTTATATATATATATATATATTTGCTGTTGTTTCATATTTTTTTCCTAAAACTGAGATGGACACGGTATACTAAATGTATAAGTCCAATTAAAATATAAATGAATTGTAAAATATTTACATAAACTTACACTAAAATATTTATGTAATTTTATATGAATTTTCAGTGCGCTCCAACATGTCTTTATTCTCCGAAAGTTCTAGCGGCTCTGTTCGACAGTTCCGTAGATAGCCTTCTGCTAGCTTTCAAGCCGCGAAAACTAGCGTAATGTTGTAAGCACTAAGAGAGTGATTCATGGTCGTCAAGAGGAAGCTGACAAGCAAATATCTGCAAACAAAAACTAAAAATTCTAGAGGAACTGGACCATGATATATTAATGAGAAGTACGATGCCGAAAAGTATCGAACTGCCAAATCTAACTCATCTACAATTCTAAAGATCGTGAAAAAATCCATAATGTTGCTGCATCGTGTTCCGGGAAAAATCTAAGTGACTTAACAGTGCTAAGTACGAAGATTTCGAAACTTTACTTCTAGAAAAACAAATGGCTACACAATCATATGCGCGCTTCCAATGTACCTTCAAGCGGACCTATAAGTCAGTCAATAGCAAAAGAGATTGCGAAACATTTAGACATTCAAAGTTTTAGTTCTTACACTTGCTGGCTGGACCGGTTTCAAAAGAAACATTCAATTTCATCATTATTGATTTGCGGTGAAGCAAATAATGTTAATGAAGAAGGAGCAAACAATTGGTTGTATGATTTTGACCAAGTGAGAGAAATGTATGTCTCATGTGATGCTACAATATAGACGAAAGCACACATTTTTACAATCTGTTTTTAGTTACACTCTAACAAAAAAGGTGACAAGTGCCATGGTAGAGCACGCAGTAAATAACGTTTAATTGTTTTCCTTGTATGTAATGCAGACGGGCAGTGAAAAACACCATCGAGTAACTGGTAAGTCCCTAAAACCACGTTTTAAAATACACAGTACTTTACCTTGAACGTATCTACTATCACCGTAAGAAAATTTGGATCGAAAGCTCAACGAAAACATTTCGTAAGTGGCGTCATCATTTTAATAGCCGAATGGTTGCTAAAGATGGTTGCTATAAGATAAAATTTAAAACGCATAAATATCTTCTATTTAACTGTGATCAAAATTTTCATCCCATTTAGTTCCGTACAGACGTATTTTTTTTAAGTTTACGGAGTTTGACTCTGTTTGGGAGCATAAACTAGATCCTAACTCTCAATAGACGTGAAGAGAATTATCATAGTGTCTGTAAGTAACAACAAAGACCTGAAAAGGTTTAAACAAACCTTTTTGTTAACACAGAACTTGAACATAAATCACTTCTTGGAGAATTTCTATGGTTGAGTCATAATTAGTTTTCGAAATTGAGAGACCTGCGATAGCTGATGCAGCATTTTCACCTAAATAGAATTTCAAATAATTGAAATTTTCGATTTTCGAAAGAGTCGCATTATTATGAATCGTCACATTAAATGAATTCCCAAAATTTAACCAGACGTTACAGTTTCCATAAATTTTTGTGAATTAACATTTTGGGTAATTTCGAATTACCATCAATATGTCTTTTGGTTTCGACATCCAAAGAGGAATTATTTAAATTTGTGTTGATATTCTGAATAACGGATTTCTTTAAATAAAGGTTGATTTTAGACTTTATTATTTTATCATTATATTCCGTAGAAGTTTTAATATTTGACACTGATTGTGAGACATTTTTAATCAAACTATGTATTTTTCATCTAAATTGTGTAGTTCTGTTCTTTACTATTTAACATTTCTAAGCAATTTTCTAACTCTTATTGCTTATTTTCTTCTAAATATTCATATACATTTTT